TTATGTTAGTAAAAAAAAATTTAACACATATGCAAAGTAAAACAAACTGAATTGCGTATCAACAAATGAAAAGCAATAAATAAATAAACCTGTAGAAGTGTTGTGTATCAACGTTCGAATGTATGGTATTCTTCTGTAACTTCAATAAATAAGAAAATAAATTGACAAGACAAAACTGATACCTGAACTACTTACTCGTAATACTGAAAATTGTAAAATCTCTCTCTCTCTCTCTCTCTCTCTCTAGAGAGAGAGAGAGAGAGAGAGAGAGAGAGAGAGAGATAGCGTGTGTGTGTGGAAAAGGTTTTGAAAAGTACGAGAATTAAAAAAACACACTATTCATATGCATGTAAATATCATTATTATTTCTAACGAATACAAGAAGTGTAGTACAAAATATGTAAATACTGTGATACATTTAATATGTCTGCCGACACTACAAACTAGAAGCAATTTTAGAGGATTAAAATATATTCAAGTAGAAGTTTTTAGTAAAATCAATAATATAGCATACAGAAAAGTAAATATTGTCTTACTCTAGAAGCACCATATCTAACGAGAAAACAACAGTGAAAGTTTACATTATGGCTCTATTTTTACTGTTAATGCAATGTGAACTCGGATTAACAAAATGAGTTTCTTAAAGTATAATATTCCTAGGTTTTAAACCACACTCAGCATCACGTCAACCATAGTTACGGTTTAAGTTCAATTAACGACTTAAGCTTTTAGTATTATGTAATTATGAAGAAAATATTAATTATTCATCCTATTTTATTGATTTGTATTGATTTTTCGTTTCATGAATATTGAAGCAATACAATAAACTTTTTTTGTCCCAATAGCTTTAAATTATGAAATTTTTATATAAGGAGATCTATTACATGTGTGGGGAGGGACAATTAAATATATCAATTAACAATTTTATTCATTTGTAAAACGATGTGACAATTTTCTATTATTATACATTTTATAACCAAATTCGCGGCAAACATTGTTGGTGGTTAAATTATTGTAAATATTCTGAATTTGATCTTCTCTCAACACCTATCGGATAGTTGTATTTCAAAATATCTCGCCATCGGATGTAATAAATATTTTACATATTTTATCGTATAGAAGAGTTCGACGTCTCCGTAATTTGTGTACACATGTATTCTATTATTTTTTTCCTAATACTAAACCTAAACGTTATTTTAGTGTAAATAGAGTACTAAAACATTATTATACAATATATTAACAAGAATGCTTGACAAAGATCGCTAATGTGCATATTATTCCGCTTGATAAATTTACTATTCGCCATTGCTAGTCGCCATCGAGTGCTAATATTATTGTAATGGTGTATAATGACATTTTAACATTTATCACAATCGATTTACGTTCATTATTTTGCAAGAAGACTGAATCCTGCACCTTAATAGTTGCTATTTATTGAAATTATTACAATAATAGAATGATTTCGTATGTAATATTCAGTCTATATAAATTTGGCGCAAGGAAGATGGCGATAATTAATTTCTTAAGAAACATAAACATATCTACATATTCTCTCGGAGTAACTTCAAGTGCTAATATGCCTAGTGATGTTCTATTGCATTATGTTTATACTGTGAAATGGAATTATTGCTTTCTGAACAAAATGAAAATACAATAGACTTAGCAATATAAGAACTTTGGTATTAAAATTTACAGCAAAATTTGAGCTTACTGTGGCATATTATGCTCAGAAACGACAGTTCCTTTGGTAAAAAAAAAGTAACCTAACAAGGGAAAATGAACTTTTCAAAAAGTTGAAGTCGATTATAAAGAAAAATTGACTTTACATATCGACTTTTTTTGTAGCTGAAAGTGAAAAGTGATATCAAACAATGCTCGCGACAAGAAAAATTAATAAATGAATAATACTCCAGAAAACAAGTTCTCAATTTTATTGCAAACCAATGCTAATAAGTATTCTATTACTTGGAAAAGAAAATATCAAATGTTTGAAATGTTGCTAATTTCGCTTTTGGTACTTTTATTAATAATTTACCTATATATAGCAAAAGGGTATATAGATTATGCAGCTCATTAGAACATGTGCTGATTGTACTACTCCCCCGTACGTCACGTACAGTATTTTACTGATTTTTGACGAAATAAAGCAAATAAAATTAAACTGGTACGCGTATACCCAGGACTTCGCAGTAGTTTTGTACAGAGTTCGTAAATACAACTTAAAGAAAAGAAAGAAAATTTGAAGAATAATGTAACTGGAAAGTCCGAGAATATTCTAGAATGCTGTGTCGTTCTATTATCAATGAACATACGGAAATTTTTTGTAACTTTACATCATGTGGTATAAAGCTTCGCGTCTTCTGCAATCTTGAAATTATTTGCTCTGTGAATTTAAAATAATTGCCTTCATTGAGTTGTCTTTTTTTCAAGTTCTTGTAATTATTTACTAAATCCAAAGGTTTTCAATAAAATAAAAAATGTCTTAATAATTTAGACCAATAATAATATTAAAATCCGTCAATAGGAAAATTTCATCATTGAGGTATATCAAACATTTAAAAGGAGAAATGTTTGAAACCCTCTGCTATAGAAAAAACAAATTCGAAAGAATATGGTTTACAATTCAAAATGCAACAAATGTTGATAACATTGAATAGGTTACTGTATACAATGCCAAGTTGTATAGTTAAAATCGTGTCAAGTTACAATTAAGCAACAAAAGTAATTTTGCACTGGCGCTCCTAATGAGTGGGGGTGGTGGGGACCACAGGCCTTAGACCCCCCCCCCCCAAAGACGATGACGCATATTCATAATGAAAGTTTTTGAAAATTGTTAGTAGTAATAAAGGTTATTCAATATTTAGATTTAATATATTGTAAATAATTATATAAACAAATTAATACAGTTTTACATTCATAAAAAATAAAAAAATCGATATAAAACAGTAATTCGGCTAAAGAATACACCTAAATCTACAGCCCTCCCCTCCCTGAGAAAACCCTGGTGACATTACTATAATTGTATATGAAATGATTGGTTTCTACTAGGTTTCGAATACGCAAATATCAATTACATTCCTCTTTTAAAGTTATTTGTAGTTTGGGGTAGTTTTTTTAGCTATTTACACATGTTAATGTGTATTAAGGTAGGCGGTGAAATAATACGAAACAAGTTTAACCTAGTTTTATGTACATCTAGACACTAATGTATATTAGTATAGCTATTAGTAATATAACTGAAATACTTATGAATTTTGACTAAGATTGATGGTATTTTATGGACATAACAAATATTACATTAATTGAAAAAAATTGAATCATACAATAACGTAAACATACATAAAACACTTTTACAATGCAAATATGAATTTTCGGTAAATAATTTACGAAAGACTCAATACAAAAAGAAAATTGTTAACGACTGTATTTGAAACATTCCTTGTGAAAATAATTATTATTATTACCATCATAAATGTTGCCTCTGCAAAAGAAATATATTTGCCGAAAGAAAATTCACAAGTCTATTATGAAATTTCAAATTTTTAAAAGAGGTTTTGTGAGCGATACCTAAAAGTGATGCCTAAAGAGCGATGCCTAAAAGTGAATTTGGCTAATTTCAAACACCTACTAAACTTTCACAGAGCCACATTTTGTTGAATGAGATGCTGGTGCGTTTTCTTCTGATCATAAATGTTGCGTATGACAAACTAGATTTGCGGTAAAAAATCTGCTTACTTGCTGTAACCAAGTTCACAGTGCTTCTCGTTTAGTATATAACAATAGTATATTCTGTGACAGTTAAAGACTTGACACTTCGAATATTGCTGTCATTAATATTAATCACTCATATCCAAGAAAATATTAAAATGAGAGTATCAGAAACGGCACTCTACTTTTAATAAGCATAACATTTAGTAGATAATGAATAATAAAAATTGTAAAATTCCCACTAATGCATGCATTTAATGTTCCTTTGCTACAAAAAGAACGCACAAATAACTTTTATATATACCTGTTTCTTATCGTTTGGTTTACGCCTTTTCAGTGTCTTTACTTAGGAACGTAACGTCTCAAAGCAGATTTTTTGAAGTTCACGACACTTCCGGACCATTTGCGCTATAGTTTGGTAACACCAGAAACTTACTAATGTTCAGTTTACTTAAGAATTATAATTACAGCTAAGAAGATTTCTTTTTTGAATGTCATTCTATTTGAAGCAATTTCTAATAACACGTTTCATTGTATATATTTTCTACCTGATCATTGATCTAATGGTTATCACGGTTCCTTACTTTTAAATTGTCGGACACTGAAAACTAAAAACAGTACAAAGGCACTATATTTTATCCTTTTCATACGGAATATTAGGACGTACTTTTTATTAGAGAAAAATATAAATTTCTTTGAATGGAACACGTGAACTCTCACACAACTGTAAAATTTGGCGGATCTTTCATCTCTGTAACTATTGATAAAGCTGTACTTGCAGAGGGGCATTTTGTATCTGGATTAGAATAATAATTGGTATCACAATGGATTCTTACTAGAGGAGAGACAAATGTCTATGATAAGACTGTAAGGCTACGTCCACACGACACCTCTTTCCGTTTAATTTTATGCATGCGTTTAACGCAAGCAATTGCGCACACAGCGTAGTTTCGAGTATACATCTTTTTTCAAATGGACAGGACGCACATTATAGCGCACGGCTTCCCACAAAAGATAATAATCTCGTGCGTTTTCTCCAACAAGCAAATTGTAAGCTCCCTTCAAAGCAAAGATCGTTGGTTCTAGAGATATTGAAGACATATTTAAGTTTTTTTATATCAGATATGTTTGGGAGTATTTGTTAATGTCTTGGGAAACATGACGCTACAGAATCTTTACTATTTTAATAAAAAGGGATAACTCGAAATTTATTGAAGATTATTAGAGATTGAATTTATGATTTTCGAAGATGCATATAGTATTGAACTATGTTGTTTCACGGAGTTAAAAATATGAATACAATATAGACAGTACAATTCAAAGTAGAAAAAAATCTTGCTTTGGACCTAGACTCCTTAAAATTTACCCTCATGTGAATACTTTCTATTTTTTTACCTCCGTCTGATTGTGTTTGCAATAGAAATCCCATGCCTGCTGTCAGATCCTGTGAACGGTAAGGACGCGCCGGGTGGGCAGTAAAACGCATTAGTGCCAAGTTGTTTGTGCGTCTTTTAGCTTCACGCATCTAAATTGAAAGACAAATCGAAATTGAAGCCGGAAAGACGCGCTTGGTGGACATGTCCCGCCGTGTCTAAAAGTCGTTTCTAATCAGAATTGCATTATCGAATACAGATTTTGCTCTTGAGGGGACCATACGCTACAGAAACACAACTGCTTGTACATACGACTTAGTGACATTTTGTTCTCTGTTTTTAGTTTTTTTTAGGCTTTTGAACGGAACTATAGGAAAATGCTAAGTACATGTTATAACGCGTCAGTGTACATTCAACTAATGCTTTCCTGAGATCTGACTGGCCATATGAAGAATATTGTTGAGCTGATGTCTATTTGTTATATCAACAAATAGTTTATTAAATACTTCAAAACGATTAACGCAGAAATATATGACTAATTTCATATCTATCTCTCTAGTAAAAATATTGATGTTAGAGCACCTTTCAATAAAGTAGTCATATTCTCTAAAATTCTATTACTGAAACAATTTTTGATGATTTGAACAAGAAAACCCTTTCACCAAAATATTATACTACTAATAAAATGTGAGAGATTAAAATGCTACTCTAGTAAAATACCGTAAATCAAATACTTCTGTTGTATAATATATTCGTGTTCCTGAGTCAATCTATTACTATATTTGAAGTAATTAATTTCTACTTTTTTCTATAAATGCAACCAAAAGAGAATAAGTAAACGTTATTTTTTTCTGCATGTCATCTTCAATAAATGTCACCAGCTTCTGTGTAATGATTTCTTTCATAATATCGACGACAAATTGTGCTCTCTCGCCTTCTGGTATTCTCTCGATAAAGGGATTCACTGAGGTAACAGCATCTGAAAGCAATGAAATATTCTGAAGTAAAGGCGCAAGCATAGTGAAGAGAAAAGAAAATGTACGACATACCGAGAGAATATATAATTTAAAATTCAAACAATGATTAAACAATATTAGGAACGAAACTTTAATGATAGAGACGGTAGATTTGCAGATCTTAATAGCATTTTATAATGGTGATTTCAATGTATTTTCTAAACAAATATGATTATTTCTTATGTTACTCCTATTAACATACAATTTGTAATGCCCGGGCAATTGCGGACTGATCCATTAGTCCACGGCATGGGCGAAATAGTCGGGAATTTTCTTTTTGGCATCTATATGCTCCCAGCGTTGTTAGAAAATTTTCTACGGTTTCGACTAAAAACCCATGACATCTGAATTATTGATCCATTACATTGATCCGCTTTTTCGAAGCGGATACGATAAGCGGGATTTGATAAGGACAAGAATATTCGGAATAAAATTTGCCGGGCATGTAGTCAGGTTTTACTTTCTCGCTACGGAGAAGAGAGAAAGTTATGGAATGCTGCGCGAAAAAAACGGCGAATTTTCGGCAGAAACACTTTTATTACAAGGCCCTGATAACGAAAAAGGGAATAAATCCAGTTACTAAATTTTGGAAAGAAAATCCTGTAGCACGTGGTGTGGCCAGAATCCATGTTTTGTGGGTCCTTGATACCGAAAAATTGAATGTCGGGAAAATGTCTGTCTGTCCGTCTGTAAACAACGCTTGAAGCTAATCTGTTCAGACGATTTTCTCCAAAATTGACATTCCCTAATCGATCTGGCTGATGTTGCGGCCCCTTGAATTTGAAACCGATATTTTAATTTTGGGTGTACTTCACATTAAGCCCCTGGGACATTTTGAAAATAAAAAAATGGTTCCATCGTTTTGGATTAAATTATGTTGTTGAATACTGTAAAGGACGTTCCAAAGAATGGTGCAGGTCTCATGTTCGTTGAAAACTTACATGTTACATGAACGTTTAGATGTTTGAAAGATTCTGGTTTCAGCCTGCTGACATGCAACCGTAATGATATGAGTGCAACGGGCTGCATACATTTTAGGAGAAATCATGTATGTATTAGTACGCCTATCTCCTTGTATTTTATTTTAAAACAGTAATTACAATTTTTGATGCCACATTATCTAATATATATCAATAATTCAAAGCAACAAGTCAGTGTCCATTGTCTTATAAATTTAATATTACAGCTATAAATTTATTTTCTAAGAGATAAGACAAATGAACAACTCTAACTTCTACAATGAGAATATTATTTATTTATTTAGATTTTGTCCAATTTTATTTTAGACAGTCATATGTTGTTCATATTGAAAACAAAAATTTTAATACAAAACGTAATTTAGATTGAAATTTTATTAAAATGTACCGTTAGATTTTTGAATCATTATTATCTCTCAAAGGTTCGAAGAGCACTTTTATTCTTCTTTAGAACTATAATTGAATATATACAGAAATTATTAAAAACTAAATTACATTTATTTTTATTTTTAAGATTTAAATAAAACAAATTGACCAAACTAAATTGAGTCAATTTGTTTTTCTTAAATCTTAAAAGTTAGAAAAATTGTAATTTTGTATTTAATAAGTTCTGTATATATTCAATTATAGTTCTAAAGAAGAAGAACAGTGCTCCTCGAAACTTTGAGAGATAATAATGATTCAAAAAATCTTACAGTACATTTTAATAAAATTTCAATCTAAATTACGTTTTTTATTATCTTTTTTGTTTTCAATATGTCTACAATATATGGCTGTCTAAAATAAAACTGGACAAAACAAACTGAACAAAAACAAAAGACAGTCTTAATATTTTTATTTATCTTGTTACTCTGCTTCTTAAATGACACGTTTTGACGTGCATGCAATATTCCAAGACTTGCGGTGTTCTGTGGAAAGAAGGATCATAGGTGTATGTGCTTTTCAGCGAAAAATCGATTTTGAAGAGAAGTGCATCAAGTCAATACAATTATCATAAAAAATACGATAGAATTTTGAAAAGTTACGTAAAGAATAATGTACATTTAAAAATAAATATTAAGTGCAATAAATTAATAAAAATATTTATATGTATATTAAAATTATTAATTTTTCTTATAATTTGGACTCTGAGAACATTGTATTTAAGTTCACAGAAGTAAAATTGATATACATTTTCCCTATAATAATTTCTCATTCTTCTTACACAAAAACTACTATTTATTTTTTATAATGGTTTTGAATTTAATGAATTTTGCTTTAATTAGAATTGAACTCACCTCTGAGGCATTCTAGGCTCAAGTACTCAAAATTAAGTTCTTTGCAGCAGCAGTCGAGAATAATAAATCCTTCTTCATCCAACAATGTAGAGAACTCGCGAACTGGATCTTTACAATTTTGATAAGGAGATACGTATTTTCTTACGTCCTGCAGAAAACAACAACATAGAAATGATTATAGAACAATAATAATTGAGAAACAATTTCTACTATCTAGTACATCAATGTAAAGGTAAATAGGTGACAACGCTACATAAGGAGTTAGGGAGTGAAATATTTACATCAAATCCTGTTAACAAATCTCTTTAGTGAAAGGTAGACAGTGAAATGTGGATATGTGATATAAATACAGAATGAGCATTTGCATTAGTGTGACTGAGTTCATATGTTTTGACTTTGGTGGTTTCCGAACGTAGAGGAAAGAGGTAGGAATATGATTATGGTAGAAATATACTAAGCAAGGTTTCCGCGTCTGTATAGTGTTGACATTTTTCGAGTGACTGGAGTACTACGTAGTTTAGCATTATCATTGTATTCCCTCAACAGCCAGCCACTTCAGTCTTCGAAGTACCCTAAGGTGAACATTTGCATTTAGTGGTGCTGTGAAAAGTTTTGTTGCTCTGCACTGAAGTGCAGTTTTCTTCGGCGTGTCTTGTAACCTTCCAAAAAAATGTAGAAGGTAAGATGACATTCAAATATTGCAGTTTTTTAATACCACTGAGGATTTGAAATAAAATGCAATGTACGATATGTTGGCAAAATCTAAAATAGAGTGGTGGTTGTAATATGAGACACTTGATTGGTAGCATTATGAGACTGTCTCATATTACTAACAGTCTATTTTATTGGCAGTAAATTATCTTAAGATTGTATGGATGCATTGTGAATTTAGTGAATCTTGTGCAGAATGTGGGCCCACAGTGACTGTACCGGCCAAGAGAGTTCTGTCTTCATTTGTGATTATTATAAAACCAAGTGATTTATAAACATGTATTTCTACTTATTGTATGCGGTGTACGTCAATAAAGCCGTTTTGTAACTGTTTGTATCAACTCCAGTTTGTTTTCTGTATAAAAAAATACTGTCTCATATTACTATCCGAGTTTCCAATTCATTGCTAGTGGCACTATTTAGAAAAAGTAAATACATAAAAGTTATTAGTTCCACAACATTTAGGTTAATAGAGCATATTTTATATTAAACATAGTAAGAAACCGCAATTCACTTTTTAGTTACGGTTATTCTTGCATCCTGTAGGTCTCAAAACAAGGGTATCTCATATTCCTATTTTTCCCCCTATTGTTTATCGGTCCACAACTATTCATGGTCACTGGTTGTATGTGTTTATGTACTAACGATTCCGTTTTGGCATTTGTTTATTTGCGGACGGATTTACAGTTTTGAACTATTATTTGGAAATATGAAACCTTTTATTTCTGCAGAATGAGTCGCGTAACTTAGCGCGTCTCACAATTATTGAACGGTTGAAGTCATTGCAATGCAGTTTTCAAGGAAGCGCATGAGGGAATAAGGCTAATTTATATAATACATGTGTTCATATCCATTTCATTACTTGTATTTTACGAGTAACTGTGTTGTTGTTTTTTCAAATGGAACCTATTTTAAGTATATCATGACGAGCGTAAAAAGACGAGTCCAATGTTATAGATATTGTCATATGTTAGGGGTATTGTTTGAGTAAATTTGATTCTTTTGCGACTGGTGTATAATAGCCCGAGCACGCATTAGCAGGTGGAGAGCTCTGTGATCTTAAGCGCCGGACTGGTACATTCAAAATATCCATTAAACACGAGATTCAAACAAATCAAAATTACTCAAAAAATACTTATCTAACATATGACAATACGTATATCATTGGATACCTTTTGTGCTGTAAAATTTTGCTAGAGAATCTGCGAACGACATATCATGAATTCTGATCCAAATTGGTAAATTATTAATCGAAAACAGGAGGAAAGAGGAAGGAGATAAAGAGAAAGCAAAGATGGAAAATAGTGATAGAATTAAAAAATAGAAATTAAAGGGACTGTTTCCGATAAGTGTTTAAAAATACGTCCTCGGTAAATATTGTTTAAAAAAACAGGCGCGAACAGTGACTTCAAACCAATGTTTTCGCAAACTTTTTGATCATGAACGAGATGGTGGATATTTGTACATTTAGTTATTAGCCTTTGTTAGGAAAATATGTTATTTAAAGGAGAAAGGACGTAGAATTAGATAATATTGGTAAGCGATATTGCTCTAAGTTCAAGTCAACGGAACAGTCACTCGTCAATAGTATTTGTTCCAGTAATTAAATTAACACAATTATTTAATTCCAAACATTAACTCAACTGTTGACTTGTTTTGACACAGTTATCAAGTCATAAATCATAAGTTCGTTAAAATATCAGTAAAGAATTGTGTGATATCATTCAGGCAGATTATATTTAACATTATAACTATTTTGGTCATTATAAACCTTATCTTTATTTACATTCGATTTACGTAGCTTGTCCATTATCAGGTCATAAGAAAATACAGGTGTTTAAGAATCATCTGCCCAAATGTATAAAATGGGTCCAAGGAAACAATATTTTAGCAATGAGTCCAGGGGTTACAAGGTCGGCGCTCAGCGCTAGACAGCGCATACCACCTTTCTTCCTGCGAAGTCGGCATGTCAACGCACACCCGCGTCGTGCGGGTTGCCAAATTTCAGGATGAGGCAAAACGTACGGCCGGCAATTAGCGTTAGCTCAATTTATGACAAATGATTGTTTGATGATTCTGGGATCGACAATTGCTAGAGTCATTAGTCCCGGAAAAGTTATGAATTTTTCGCGGGAGCTGGCGGTGATTTTTACCCGCTTAACCCGCTTAACCCGCTGGGGACGTTGAGCGGGTAACTACCAAACTTCTCGTCGGCTTGCAGAATTTTCCCTCTACTGGATATATCCCACCAGCGGGGACAAGCTCCCGATTGGTTTCCTGACATGTGTTGTAATGTTGTGCATGTAGGTAAGGGGTGAAGATAGGGCAAGGAAGAGGATGGAAAAATCGCGAGCGGTCCGTGTTCAGTTTGCTAGAGTACTGTTCAGACATTAGCCTGGTGACGTCGGAGAAACCACGGAAAACTACCGAAGAGAGCAGCCGACCGCCGGAATTCTCCTCCAGACAGTGTCTGAATTCGACGTAACTATATAACTAGAGTCAAAACTCTGCTACAGTCGGGATTCGAACCTAGGACCTCCCATTCAGAGGCCCTGTGGGGCACCAAGGTACTGGGAAATGAACTATAATATCAACATTACACTTGTTTATTGAATTCAACTCTTATAGTTGTCCTAATTAAAATTAATAAAATTTGAATTCTAAAATGTAACGTTCTGGGGCAATGATAATGAAGAAAATTCGATGTTCATTGGCAAAAAAACTGCTTTACTAGATTCCCTCGGCCTTTTCTTTCGTTGGTATTTTTTTACTGAAATATCCTATTTATGACACAAAGAAAGAATTACGCATGGAATAATAATATTAATAATAATAACAATTAATAATTAATCCAATACATGATAAACACTACAAAATTGAACTGTTATGGTTTATACCCAAATGTCAATTATAATATTTATAAATAATTAATGAAAGCTTTGTACAAATTATTTGAAGAAATGTGAAACGTATAGTTGAACATTTGACAAGTTAAAATGAAGCAATTTTTACTTGCTGATCTTCTACAAGTGAAAGGTATCCCACACAACGGCGCGATGCATTTTATTTGTTCGAAAGAATTTGGGGAGTAGCTGTAGGTGAGTACAGAATTTCTGCTTTTTCTGATACTGTGAGGCTTTGTGTCGATGAGGGGAGGAGAGAAAGTCCAATGACGAAGGGAAAGACGCGAGGGATGATCATCCGCTACTCCACCTTCCCCACCACGATTCGCCCTCCCTCCTCCTCTCCGGCCGGCCAAGCCTTCCTCCTCCCTTTTCCCACCCCAATCGCGCACCCCAACCATTCTCGCCCGCCCACGCGCCTCGCCCGCCTTCCTTGCATTAACCCACAAGCTAAACACAGAGACATTGTTGATCCGGTAAAGCTTAAGTTTTCGTGTTTCTTTTTTGCAGGTTACAAATATTTTACTGGTAATTGGATCATACTCGTATATATATTCCACATATCACATTTCTAACTTTAGTAGTTATGTCTTTTCGTTGATATATCAGTCAGTCATATTTTTTCTTAATAATATATACCTACATAATAAGATATTGTAGTAGTGCCAAAATATGTTATTATAGTCCGTGATGGCAGATATCTTGTGGTAATCCATAATATGGTAAAGAAAATAATCTCTTTGTGGAGATTATTTCCTTTACCATACTATGTTTTCATATGACAAAACATAATTCCAATTTTTTTGGTAATCACTGAACGGTTTCACTTTACTTAAAATTATGGTAGTGAATGTTAATTAGGGTAAGTATAAATTACAATGATATCCAACATACACAGGTGTCTTAGAATAAATATTAAAAACTTCTAGGGCATGTAGAGAGGTCGAAAATGATCACCCTTTTGCTACACAATTTATAGTGGGAATTTGCATATGATGGGATTAATCCCCGTACGCACAGATGTTCGGTGGGTTCATGAAATCTTCATGACTGCGTAAGAACGTGACCTACAGAACATCTCTGCATAAGCAATGGTCAATGACACGTGCGTAATTCCATTCCTTAAAATTTCTTACTACACATTCTGTAGAAAAATTGATCATTTCTCACCCCTGTGCTTGCCATAGAAGTTTGTACTAACATTTGCTGTGAGACATTCTGTAATGTTGAAATGTCAGGGAGACGAAAAATTCAATATTTAACGTATCTAGAATGGAAAAATGTATCTGCCATTATATAACGATCTAATTGTGAAGAATCGAATTAACTTAAAATCTGTAAGTTCAAAAGTGTTTTTCAAAAATCTCAATTTGCAAGATTTCAGAATTTTTATCGAAAATAGAACCTGTACTTTTATACAAACGCACTTTCCTTATTTGACCATAGATTTAAAGAACAAAGTTGGAGCCATTTGTGAAACAACATTTAAAACATTATAAAGGCTTCATGAAAAGTACCTTAAATTAAAAGATCTAAGTAAAATTTCCAGAACCACGAGTTCATCTAGATCGAACGTGGAATATCCATTTTTTGTAAAATCCCGTGTATGGTTAATACGATAGTCTTGTTCAGATGCAGTCGTTAAAATAATTTTTCGGTATCAAAAAGTCTCAAATCGTATATTTCTGTTCCGAAATCCCGACATTGATTTTTGCAGCGCTGTTCCATTTCATTTACGGACCATTGTACTTCGGAGATAGGTTGTTGTCGATAGATCATATGATACATCATCATGCAAAACATCAGATCATCATACAATTATCTTCATGCACACAAGAAAGAAATTTAATATCATAGACTAATGCATGGCAATTAAATAACTGCAGAGTTACCCGTAAGTGTTTTATATTTGAAGACATTAAATATACGACGTATTTGACATCTTTTAATAATTAATTAACTTTCCGTGCGCGCATATGTCAGTTTTTCAGACAGTACGTTCTACATACTTCTTTAATAATTGTTTGGGGCGTTGCCTGTATTCAGCCAGGAAGTCATATTAAACATTATATCTGAAAAGTTTGGTCCTACTATATGTACTAAAAAAACAACAAGAAACCTAGGGTAAGTGTGCGACAATGTTAAGAGTTTTTGGATTGCACTATTTATTGAAGTTAGGATAACTTTTGTTAATATACTCTGAAACTGTGTGTTGAGATTCTCTGATACAATTCGGAAAGAATTGATTTTTCTTACTCCTGAATGTAGTAAATTACTTTCTCGTATATGTAGCGTAGTCAGAACCCACATTTTGTGGGTCCTGGATGCAGACAATATGGTTAGGTTTGGAAAATATGGCGAAACGTCTGTCCGTCTTTCGCCTGTGGATGGGCGCTTGTGGACTGGCGACTAGCACATAGCTTCTAGGACCTAGTGCTTGTGAACTAGTAAAGATCTCAACCGTTCACAATATTTTTTCCAAAGTGGATATTCGGCGATCGATCTATCCGAATTCGAGAGAATGCGAATTTCAATCGGACGTTTTAATATTTGAGAGTATTTTATAAGTTGAACATTTTCAACATTTGCTCATTTTGAGCAAAAGTTGAACATTTTCAACATTTGCACAAAAACTATCTAATTTTTCTTATTTTTTGTTTAAATGGTTTTCTTAATACAAAGTCGTATTTTCGTTAAAATCTCGGGAATTTTTAAAATTTCTAAAATTATTTTTTTTACATTTATACACCATTAATATTGACGCTAGATATTTATTTTAAGTTTTCCTTAATAATAAATCTTTAAATAATTTTATGTACATTTTAAAATATATTAGAAGTTTTCGCGAAATTTTGAATAAATTATCACAAGAATATTAGGAATATAGTATCATCTAATGACCACGGGGTGGCAGGACACGATCTGAGTGGCTCGGAGCCAAGGAGCGCGGTTCTCACTCGCAGCAGTCGTATTCGAAACCCAGCCATAGTATTTTTTCTTTAAAAGCTCCGCTATTTTTCTTTCTCTGTGAGTTCATTATCGAAATTTTGTCACTGTACTTGGATATACCTGTGTATTATAAATCTTTTACCTCACAGACATTTCTTGAAAATAAAATTTGTTATTAAATCAGCCGAAATTATTTTAATTGAAAACATAGACAAAAATAAATATGAAATACAGTAAAAAAGTAAAATCAGATATTTAAATAAAATTAAAGAACGTGCATGAAAGTGCAAGAAGTCAAATACGTCATATATATATATATATATATATATATATATATATATATATATATATCATTATCATTAGCAACTTCGTACATTGATTACTTCCGAAATTGTAACTTTATGAATACGGGCAGTCTATCAGATGATAGTCATTTCTTAAAATATTCTATGGTTATACTCAATTACTAAATATGAATATTGGATATTTTCATAACACCACTTGAATTCCAATCAAACCAAGAATGTTAAACAAATTCTAATGCTGATTTTCTGTTCACTATATATTGAATAGCTAAGATGAATAACAACCCTCATAATATGTTTCTCTTGAAACAACGTCCCAAAGGAAACAAAATTTACGTTTACTAATTGGTTAAGTTACATGTACGTTAGTAATAGTTAAAAGTAGTAAGTAGTAAATTGCCAAAGTGCATTATAATTAAAGGTGTGCAAATGAATTTTGACTCATTCACATACACATATGATCAAAGCCTCGCGTATGATGATACACAAGTAAGTCATCACTTGTGGTAAAAAATACATATTCGTATTCTCCTCGTTTAGATTTCACTCGGCGATTTTTGTCGGTTAGAAACGAATATTTCGTATAGAGTTTTGTTGAGAAATGCTTCGTTTTTGCCCAGCAAGGTTCACGATTTCCCTTTCCACAACGACCAGGAAAATGTGATTTTAATGAGTCGAAGCTGTCTGGAGAGTTCTATGTATTCTCGGAAAAAGTCTACTTGTTTGGAAAAAAATATGAATTGTCGCAATTGGGTTGCAAATTAAGACCGTTCTGTCCCGCGCGATGCCCTGCTATCATGCCCGAATTTAAGTCGTCATAACCTTAGACACACAGTCAGCCGTCTGAATTTTATTACACTCGCTGTTCACAAATGATACTAACGGCCGCCGAGTCTACAACAGCGCTTCGAGTATTCCAAAGTCACGTCAAGTGGCGAAAAAATCGAAACATTATACAAAAGAACTCTATAGGAATCTATGGTTCTGAGACTAAATGATAAAGGAATTATTTAATGTTAATATTATGAGAAACACAACGGTGCGTTTTAACACCTGAAATGACTATATTTCTACAAATATAATTTCTAAAACGCTACATTTTTTCACGTCAACATAGTCTACATTTCAAAGATATTGAATGACAATGATCGTGAATTGAATATGATAATGGAATACTGATTCATAAATTATTTGCAATGGTGGCATTTGACATTAATCAGAAACCTCCAGTATTAATTTTTTCCCAAGGTCGTCAGAGCAATGAAAATATTTTATATACGAATCATCACTGAAATCACTTGAAAAGTGGCAGACACAGAGAGCATACACCTGATAATTTCGGTTTAAGAAAAATGAGATCATACCAGAAACTGCGATATACTAGATTACTTTTCAGTTAATTTTTGCTTAGTGCATTTTCTCAAGGTATAAGTTGCGAATCTAATACAAACTCACGAAGACTTATCTGTCGAATTCGCCAACTTAATTACCAAGCCCCCAAGATCTACCACGATATTTTTAGTTCGGGTCTCTTGCAGTTGACTTTGTGGTTTCGTAACAAAAAAAGGGTTCGTGGAACGCCCTCCATTTCCTGTTTCGTTAATGCATGGTATTTGAGACATCCGGTATTCAGCAGGCCATCCGCAAAAGTAAATTATACTTGATTCATCCGAACTAATGTCGGATAAATTTCTTTAAATATATATTAATATATTTATATTATGTACTTGTATATTAAGCATTCATATCTAGTGTAGACATTGTAGTCATAATCCAAGAAAACTCAAGAAGGCAGCCGATTAATGGAGAGTAAATTAATGTCATTTTAACTATGTTGCGCAATTTTAAATTTCTCTATGAGAAAATATGTCGTTAGATTAGAGAACACAGCTCTTTATAATAAAATAAAAATGTGTTCCTTTGAGGAGTAACTAATTTCATTAATTATATTTTTATTAATAGAGAATGTGATAACATATTCATTGCTAATTGCATAAGTCTGTAATGCAACATTATATTATATGACACTCCATATAAAAGAGTCAAGGATGTCATGTGCACACCTCCAATGTGGAAGTTCTTATTTAATAATTTCGACGCGTAAAATATTGTTATCCATATGAGATATTCAAAAATAAAAAAACCAAAACTACCAAAACTCACTGTCATGTATCTGCGCCATTGGGGGTACTTTGCTAACGACTCGTACACGTTGAATATGGGGCACTTGGCGAGGAACGCCAACAGGGCCTCTCCGCCGGGGGCAAGCAAAACGTTCATGTTGCGGAGCGCCATCCTGCGACGATGAGACATGTCGGCAAAGTGAAGGTGCATCATCACAGCTCCGCCACGCCCTCTGCATCACTCCTGTTTTCCTCTGTTCTCGGCTTCTCCAACCGCCAGCTTATCTCCTGTTATCATGAACCAGTTGAGGATCCTTCTCCCCGAATTATTAGCAATTATTTATTTATATACCAGAATTGACGGCAAGATGTACACGAACTTTTTTCACAAAGTATCCACTAAAATATAATGAGTAATTAAGGGATGTGCATTGTTATTATAGTAATCTAGAGTACTTTTGGATCCAAATGTTTAAAAATCAGTTATAACACAAAGTTTTGTGTTATGTCAACAACTTAATGTGAAATTAAATATAGTTCAATATTTCCTAACACATATTGAACACAGTGTAAAAGTCCGTTATTCGTGCAAAAAATTGCAAAATAATTAACCGTTTTCGCGTTGTGGAGAAGTTAGAGTTATTTAGAAAAGTATATGTAACAAAGAAATGTTCACGCCTCCTTGATCTGATCAAAATGTTCTTTCACTCACATATTTAAAACTACACAACAGTATCAACAAACTCTTGCCACGTTCACGATACCTTTAGAAATTGAACATCCTTATATAGGAAGTGTATTGGTATTAGACCTGAGAATGACTGAGCTTATAATGTCATGTAAACTTTGAATGAACGCCCTTGAAATGCAGAAATATTAATAAATAACAAGTAAAAAATACTAGTAAAAATGAAATACTCGTAATTGTCGATTATATTAAACGGTTAAATCATTATTAACAATTAACAATCAATGGAAATATGAAAACGGAGTACTTTCTAGAAAAAACAAGAATATTAATACAGGGAAAAATTGTATGCTTTAATAATTTTGAAGTGCGAAATAATTATTGGAATGAAGTGTTAATAATTCATGTTAATCACCCATCACATAGTTTTCTAACTTGCTTTAGAGACTTCCATTAACACTTGAACATTTCACTCATGAAAAAACATTAAAATGCAATGCACTGAGACACTAATAGTGGATCTGTTAACTTGCATGATCTCTCTGTTTTGCAATTAAAAATACTTAATGAATACTTAATGAAATGTAAACAAATGAATGAATTCATTTGTTTACATTTCCAAATCATTTGACTCAAATTATTATACATGAATTTTAGCAGAGATTTTCTAATGATAAATACATTCACGCATGAAGTATACATGTATACTTCTTCTGGACTTAAAGATATTACTCAAGTTTTTGTATGAATATCGTGCACGGTGCCAAATTAATATTTTTGGTACGGTGCACATGAATGGCTTAAATTGTACATAGCAATTATTTATTAAATGAAAGATGGTGTTCAGAGACTTCAATAAAAATTAGCAAATGTTATGAATGAAATTAAGAAGAAGAAAATTAAGAATTAAAAAATAAGAATTATGTTATAAAAGAAATTATCTCAAATATTAAGAATTGCGCGATCTCAAGAGCGATTGCAAATTACAAGACATGAATAAAAGATCTTACAAAACAGGAATTGACATACATAACTCATGCATTCTAAAAGCAAGTGCTCCTTTAATAAATTAAGTTGCTCAATTGGATTTTTCAAACTGATAACAAGTACGCCATGAATGTTAAAATATCAACAGTTTCTTATTACATCAAGACTGTCCTTAGAAAGTTCGCCAGCTCTACGGGTCTAGTAACGGATCATTATTTGTTCTTGCATTTTAAAAATATTTTTTACTATGTTACTCATACATCGTAAACAAAGACTGTGTTTTTATCAATGAAATGCAACGAAAAATATTTGTATACCTTTGCGATATAAAGGTAATTAATTAATCTGCTTATTCGCTTATGTATAGTGTATTAAGAGTTAAGAGTGCATTAACGAATCCCTTTTGATATGAATATCATAATGAAATATGTATCGTTTGTGCAGCACGAGGCGTCTGCCGAGTTGAACAACAGTGACACGAGTTTCATTATGTAGTTATATCAATCATACTTGTTTTATAAAGCCTTTTTTATATTGTATTATGTATTTATTACCATGTTTAATGATTCCTTACATTTTCAATATTAATCGAAAACACCTTCCGGTTCGTATACTCATGATTACATACTCATGATTTTCACGATCCTTTTCTCGTATTATTAGTATCTTTTGTATTCTGTATTTAATATGATATTTACCCATCGTCAATTGTAAATATTCTTTGGTATAGCCTGAGGATGAGGACAACAAGATCCTTAAAACCATTGCAATAATAAAACCTTATACTAAATGAACATTTATGGTATTATTATGTAAATAACACAATAGTTGAAAACGTCTGTTCTAAACTAAAGGGCCAAAAAGAGCAATCATGAAATATAATTTTACAATTTTAGCTTACATAACTCCTCTGAAATAAAGGGCATTTCCCTCATTATGTCATGTGTTATAAATTAAAGTGTGAAAGCTTTACTTTTGTTTTAAATATTAATTATACAGTATTCATAAGATATTAGCAAGCGCTCCAATTTTTCATCTTTTTACATTGCAGAAATTATTTAAAAAGTGAATAATTTGTTGACTAATTCCGGTACTTCTCTATTGATAAAGTCAAAAACTTACAGGATGTAGGAAGTTAGAACCTCTCGATTGTAGTGTCCTTGTATAGAGTTAGTTTTCAGCTCTGCAGTAGTGAATAATATGCTGCACCACACTGCGCAGCGAAGTTTCAACATTTCAGTATTAGCATGTAAACGCGTCTAAAATATTGTTGTAATAACAAAGCACACACTCATTATTTCTAAAGAAAATTAACATTAGCTTTTTAATATTTATTTATTCTGAATTTAAGCATATTCTCCCACTAAAGACTCGAGCACCATATCCAACTCTCCATTCAGAGAACATAGGCTCCAAATGAAGCAATCAAAATATAATCAATTTATCACGTACATGACAAGATATAGTAAATAAATTATGGCGCAATTATATTATTTCTCTTTTAATGAAACCTAAAAAGTGTCTCTCTTTCAAAATGGTTTTGTGATGTTTATTGAATTGAATACTTTTTTTATTTATCCAAAGTCAAAAACGCCTGAACACTATGTGTGACGTACTATGGGGAGAAGAGTATTCTGTCCACGTTTTCATAAATACTGAAATCCCTACCCTAGCGAATTTGCAAGTTTAATTATAAATACAAGTGGAAACGAGCATTTTTGGTAAGAAATGATAAGAAAATATTCTCACCCTTATAATAAAACTATTCGCAAACGAAGAAAGCTAAATTTTGGCTATTATCCCTCATAGAGCCCTTCGTGAAGGAATCGACTAATTGCTTCGAGGATATGGAAAGCAATACTCTGAATTACTATATTTTATTCTTGAAAACGTTCACAGACAGTGAAGTGACATTTATGTTCAAAAGTAAGACAAATGACCATCTCAGTATTCGCTTAAATGGTCAGGGAAACTGGGCAAAGAACCTGATCGAGATGGTGGTCATTGACCCAGAAGCTGAAGTACAATACTTACTTATGCGTATATAATCTTTTAAAAATATACAGTCTAAATGGTAACTAACACATTCAATTTTTTTGTTAAAATGAATACTACTTTCCATCTTGATGCTCAGTTTAGTCTCTAATTGTGTAAAAACAGTTACGTAACAGAAAAGATTTTACTTCGCACTTAAACGTGTAAGTCGATTTTAATAGTTTAATATCATTCCCGTTGATTTCCCAGCTTAATAAAGAGATGCTAACAAGAATCAAGTGGGTGAAATTTGCTTATTATTCGTACAATGTTTGTATGCCTTCTGGTACCTGTAGGATGTGTTTCCTCGGATGTTATGCCATATCTCAGGCGGTAATGAATACCCATTCGCGAAATATACACAATGAGCAGTATGATGAGTGAATTTGAAAGAATTATAAACTAGTAGCATAACGAACGTTCAATTCATTCAAATGGACGTGCCATCCTTCCCTTCGTTTACTATTAATATGTTATCACGAATTCAATTGGAAACCTTTTGTATTGTACTATTTACTGTTTATTATTGCAAAAAATATTCTTGTCATTCACAAAGAAACTGTACTTCCGTTTTGAATCGTCAAAAGCATATCGTTTACGTAGAGTAAGAAGAGAATAGGGCCTTAAATCAATCGTTTATTAATGTAAGAACATATCCAATCTAGACCAATACCATGAATTCCATATGATGATAATTTTGAAAGTAATCTATTGAAAGCACTTATATGTTAAAATATTTCAATAGTTGCTTCATTTTGATCCATGGATGAAGCGAATCGGACAAAAGAGAAATTGGCCGACAAACCCAACTTTGATTTTCATTTTTCTTGCCTATTCTGAAAAGCGGCTTAATTTTAACTGCTTTGAAAATATCTGGAAATGTTCCGGTGCATAAGGATGCATTAAATATGAGTTAGTAACGCATAATTTATAATGGCAGTCGCACAAGTCATTACAAAAAATCCTAAAAATCATCTAAACTGGCCAAATATTATATTTGAGATTGCGTGTAATTTTGGGAATTTCGTACGAAGAAATTTTGGTAATAAGCATTGTGAGTAAACTTTTATTGAATTTGTGAGATAAGTCGCAATTTTCGAAAAATGTTGATTGAAGTGATCTACCACTGTTGACAGATTTTTAACTTCTCTATCATTATCTTTTGAACAATATTCTCCAGAAGAATGTAGTCATATTTTTGTGCTGTCTTCCATATTTCTTTTGTTTTGCTATTTGCGTTCAAATTTGTTTCATTATTTTAGTCTGTCTTATGACGTTTCTTAATAACGATTTGTAGTTTTGGAAGTAGAGTTGGAAATCGTGAGGTGCTAAAATGAAATAATGCTTCAAAATGAAATAAACTTTTGTTTGGCTTTACATGTTGTTCTTATCACTTTTGTCATCCAAGTATTGTGCTTTAGTGAAATGTTTAATTTTCTTTTTAAGCGAAAAGCATGTATTCAAGGGAAATAAAAACTCGAACAATTCTTTATATTTAACTTTTGTAGTATTTCTATCATTTGTTTGCATCAGAATTGCAATCCTCATCTCATAATTCGTGTAGAAAGTAATCTACAAAATTATTTTATTTCACTTCTAGCAAACAATAAACACATAGTGTATTATGTATTGTTTCAATTTTCGCATTCCTTATAATGATAAGAACTTGTGCATCTTGGTCTCTATATACTAAATCTTTCGTTGCAATTTCGAACCTGGTGATTTTGTTTTTTGTTATTAAATATATTGCCTTTTTGAATTAAGTTTGGCCTTTGTAAGTACATTTATTGTCATAGATAAACTGAATGAATTAAGATTAATTAAAACTAAGAAGAATAATGATAAGATAAGAATAATTACCTGGTAATAATGTGTAATTGCAGGAAAGAAGTCATAACATTATTAATATTTTGTACATGCATTGTACAAAGACACCTCAGTGAGTGCGCTCAAAATCGTTTATGTGAGGATGTAGATAATAATAAACATTTAATTCGTAAGAGAGTCCCAACGCGATCAAATACGATTCTTGTTTGTTCTGTCTCTTGCTCAATTAAAACTGTCCATAATCTTAATTTTATGTAACAGTTATAGGAAAATAAAGTCTCTGATGGACAAGAGAAAACCAAAATACAATATATTAATACAACATACAATATATTAATAAATATCTCAATGCACAAAATAGAATACGAAGAAAGTGAACCCTATGGTCGAATATAAATGCGGCTGCTGTATTATTTGCTTAAATCTTCTTTACAAAATGATTTAAATAAATAATAGAGAAGCCTCATGTTGATTGTCTATAATCCTTTGTGGATACTGCTAATATTCAAATATATTTATTCGACAACTCCTGGTTAATTTTAACGCCATTTAAACTAAATAGCGATTAATCAACAATTATTCTTATGTTAAATGCAGGGACATTGTTCTAATTGTACGACATACGACGCCCGTTTATAAGATGGCCGTAAATACATATACTGTTCTATCATTAAAGTTAATTTTATTAAATATAGAAATATTGCCTAAAATGAAACGGATCTCACAAAAAGTATATGCAGTTTGAGAAGAATCAGTGATTGAAAAGAAAAGAAACCTAATACTATATTTCGATATGTGGACGTAACACAGCCCTAACGTGTGATTTCCAGTCTTTGTACTACATTTTTCTGTCCTTCCCATTTTCCAGTTATCTGTTTGTTTAATCTTGATGTCGAGGATAGATGTACAGTTCTACAAAAAAAAAGCGGGCACATTTCCACAACTTTGCTTCTGTGGTGAGGGCACGGCGAAAAGCGATTGTTTTTTTTTTTGCGGCCAAAGACACGCAGAAATGAATACATAAGCGTTACAAGACTGTAAATACTTATAAACGGTTACTTTTGTCCAATATGTTGGTCCATATGCACAAAACAAATTAGCAATTTAAGGGGGGCATCCTACATTTTTCTCTAAAAAGTATATATTCCTTTGAAAAGAATTAAATTTTACTCTTTGAGATATTTTGCAATTTTGTAACAATATAATAAGATATTCCATAAATTCCAGGACACTTAACCTTTCCTGTGGTCTTGGAGCTACGTAAATGGATAATATTTGTTTTTCATTTTTTTGTGTGCAATCTCTACTCAAGCGAAGAGATTTGCTTGAGATTTTTAAGTAAGAAAAATAATTCAAGAAACCAATATGAGTTTCTATTCCTCATCTTCAACTTTCTATCAATCAATTTACGCTTCAAAAGTGATTTTGGCATTTCTTTGGCGCTCATTCATCAATTTATCTACATCACTGTCCAAATACGAGTATGGTATTCTATCACTTGTGTTTTGTTCTTCTGTCTTTGTTAACTAATTTCAGAATCCCAGACATCCAAGTGAAATTGATAGATTATTAATATTTATTCTTCTTAACCCTTTAAAATGTATATTCCTTATTGACTTCTTGAACAGAGCAGTCAGTTAAAATTTAAAAAAAGCTAAAAAATGGCACAATAGGAAACATTTTATGGAAATATAAATTTTAGAGCTAAATGAAAATTAAACCATAATTAACAAATTAACGTTTTTCCGTGTATTTAGGTAAATAGAATGAACAAAAAATCTGCTTTTCTGCGAATATTTAGAAAAGAAAAAATAATTTTTCCGGAGCTCGAATCACAAAAACAAACTTTCGAGGATATATTTTTTCTTTTATTTTATACTCAAACTACATAAAAAAACCACTTAGTACCAAAAGGCAGAGCGAAATTCAAATCTAGTCAACTTCTGTTATTTACCTTCACGTCACAAAAATATAAGTCCAGTGACTCTTGCAATGTTAGTCCAGTGACTCTTGCAAAGGTCTATTGAAGTTTAAGTGATTTCCCTTTTGGTAGACAAGGTTTCATAACAGACCGACCCTGTGATTAAATGAATATTGGTATTAAAAGTTACGAAATTTTAGAAGCAAGTCAGCAATACTCTAAATATATGATGGGAAACGAATTTGAGGCAAATGGGTAGGATTAGACAAATCAAATCTCAGTTTTGTTTTTAAACAATATGTCATGAGCCATCGTTTGTTGTAGAACTCATGTATTTTTGACTTTTTTCATGTTTTCTTCAATACCACCTATAAATATGCGGTAATTTATTACACACTCCTTACTGTTTGAATCAAAAGGGTAACATCATCTGAAGATGAATATTGTTGTATCACTTACAACCAAAATTATAATAATAACCCCAATACATAAATGTAATTTTGATTAGAGGGATTCCGTTTGTTGGCTACCTCGATTGCTGCGAAATATCACAAGAGGATATGATCCCATAAAAGTCAGGAGCTGTAGTTCTAGGATTTACTGCGAAATGGGGACACGTCTGTTATCATGTTACCGTCATTAAAAATTTAATGGACTCTCAATAGAGGAACGAACAATACTTTCTTATTCTGGATCTCCCTTTGTTATTGTAATATCTAGACCACACAGACATGTCAGTTCCGAGAATTAAATCTACAGTCGTATTGTCTCAGAGATTTTAACATGTTTTTGTCGCGGTGCTCTAAGAACAATGCAATTATTAAACACGATTTTAGGGCAATGCTTTCATAAAACGTTTGCTAATACACGTAGGTCTTAAGGACATACTAACATGTCACTGTATTACATCTCCGAAAATCTATAATACTAACTCTTCAGTTCATTTTTTAATGAACTCATAGAGACATAATTTCAGGGGAACACTGTCTATAGGAAACCGAAACAATATCATTTTCACGAAGAAGTGTATCTTATCAATCCTCGAATTACGAAATATCAGAAACGATCAAAAAATAACTTTGCTAGGAATGAAACAATATTTTCGCTGTCATTGATGTATTCTCATTTTTATGTAGAAAAATAATAAACAGTATATTTATCATTTGGAATCATATTATTCTTATTTCTGACTGTCAATTATAACCGTATACAAAGATGCAGGTTTTTGAGAGAGGATAATACATATAATTCATTCATTGTGCGATGCTTTGAGCGTGGAAACTTGCAGCTCCGCGACTCAGCCCTCGCTCCCCTTCCCGCATCCCTTGGCGGCCTCTCGGCAGCGCGGCGTCTAACCTTTGGTCGACCAAGTGCAAGCAGTAGAAGCTAAAGAGCTTGAAGAAGCCGCGCGGGCCGGCCTGGGCGGCGAGGGGCGACCGGTGCAAGTCGGGCGCCGCGATGTCCGCCTCCACGAAGAGCAGGCGCGGGTCGCGGTGCTGCGCGCCGGCGTAGCGCACCATGGCCGGTGACAGGTCGGCGCCCACGACGCGCCGCACGCGCGCGGGCAGCGCCGGCAGCAGCAGCGACGCCGTCACCTCGCCCGTGCCGCAGCCCACGTCCAGCACGGCGTCGCCCTCGTCCTCGTCCTCGCCGGCGCGCCCTCCGCCCTCACCGCTGCCCCCAGCGCAGCCGTCGCGAGTTTACTTCGCGCAGCACGCCGCGCGTCGCGGCGCTGCAGCTCTTGGAGCCCTGGCGAGAGGCGCCGGCTGGAGTTCATCCTCGGTCGCAGCGCTCTCCGCTGCTAGCAGGCGGCGCCCGCTGCCCAGCCGCGCGCCCCGCCCCGCGCCCGCGCCCGCCCGCCGCCCGCGCCGACCGCCCCGCGCCGCCGCCGCCGCGCCGCCGCCCGCGGCGTGAGCGTGCCCGCCCGCCGCTGACCTCCGAAGGAGACGCGCGCACCAGTGGAAAAAAGCTCCCAAGAAATTACCGTCAACTCACTCAAGGTCCCTTTCGCCGTACCTTTTTATTCTTTGGAAGATGCCTCCGAATAGTCACGGTTGTACGGTAGTGACTGCTGCAGGTTTTGGAGGGGTCACTGATCTGTTGCCTCGAAACAAGCTTCCGATGTTTACATGCACATGTTGCTTTCATCACCAATACTATATATATATATATATATATATCTATATATATATATATATATATATATATATATATATTATATATATATATATTATATGTTTAAAAGTCAGTATTAGTTTCTTAGTCTTAGTCTGGTCAAACATTTATACTATAATGTTTTATGGCCACTAAATAGTATATTTTGATGAAATAATACAAGTCCGTTTGATGCATTAAAACCACAACATGAAAATAATTTACGTAACATCCTATAATCTTACGGTATAACGGTATATGACGGTATAGAATCACATTACACCACATTACACTCATGTTATTGGCCACCGCTGGCTCATGGTTCTCTCCTCAAATCCGTTCACATAATGGACGGAAGAGGTAGGAGTACCGGAGCCTTCATTTACGTTCCATTCACTTCTTAGAATCGTATTAAGGCTGGCAATGTGAAAATAGTTGGCGCCCATGTTTTGGTTCAGTCCTTTTGGATCTCAACCTGTATCGATTTCCCGCCTTCTACTTATTACCTGGTTTGTGTTGTTAGCATCAGCGCTAGATCCCTGGAACTGGTCGCCTCGATTAATTATTTTCTTGTCTGATCTCTCTTTTTCTCTTCGTCGAATGTTGTGGTAGTACTGACACGAACTCATGAATACGCACTCGTTTTTCATGCATCCGGTGATTGTTCACGCATCCACATTAATTTTTTAAAAAGGGTGATGAGACATGAATTCCGTGTACACCCAGTTATAAATTTAAATAATAATAAACGTAAATATTTTTGTTTTAACGTTTAATCAAAGGAGAGACAGCTTGCTAGATAAGGAAACATACAAGTCTAACACTTATTTCATGAACTAACAGATGGGTTGAATTGATAAATTGTCTTTCAATGACATCACCAACTATACGGCTATGCTATCTTTTCTATGACAAGGTAGACTTGACAGTGAAAGGATTAACGTACACAACGGAATTTCGGAAGACTTCGGAATGATTCCTTATACCTTTCCATTTTTATTAGTTTGTTGTCATTCAATTCCTTATTAGTGTTTTGTTTTGGTCTTTTCAACTTTTCGTAAGAAGAGACAAATTCTAGTGTGTATTACGTGCTAACAGATGAAAGAAAATATCCAATATCAAACTATCCTGAGTAGATTAGGGAAATGTTTCACAATGATTCCGTAACAAGAAGCATTTGAAGACAAATAAAATATGTATCGGGTTTGGAATCTTGAGAATTCAACCTGCTTTATCCTTTGGAATTCGTCCATTTGGATCTCCATGACGTTTTAGCAAAGGAATATCAAACCCAAAGGATTCAAAGATAACCTAAAAAATAGTGAGCTGCAGCAGCAAAAATGCTGCTGTCGCGTGTGTGGAAAATTGAGTTCTGGAGAAGCGAACATTGATTGTTCTGAAACAGCATACGTCAAAATTAAAGCATCTTTCTTCCTTATCGCATGATGCCAGCTTTGTCATAAGCAATGGCTTACTGAGTATGAGAATGTAGTCGTAATATCAAGTATTGCGGAAGATTGTAATAACATATATGCAGTTTTCAGTTAGAATCGGAAGTGTTTTCTATTCTTTCTGAGAATTAAACAAAAACATCGTAGAATCTCACATACCCAGAGGCTGTTTAGTTTTCTGTTAATTATTAGTATATCCGTATATTAGATATTAGTAATTTAGATTCTTTGTCACTTGAGCAGCAACTCTTCAACGATTGCAATTAAATTATAATTGAAAATCTTCTAACGCAAGTTATTGAACTGTAAAAACTACCGCTGTTCTGTTGTAGAATAAATAGCATCACTGGTAACCTTGATGATTAAGTAATGTCGTTCTTGTGGAGAATGGTGTTGCTCGTAGGCTTAGTAGGAGCTCCTGAACTTTCTGGCAGCGTTAAAAAATCTGTGGCAAACTACCTTCCTTCGTCCAAATTACCTAGTATGACTCATTAGTTCTACTCATCATGCGCGTTGTATGTATTGGCTCGGATAAATACTACACAAACATACTGAAAAAAACAATAGATTCATTCTACAAATTTCTCAATGTCGAAGCTCGTTTACGATTTACAAGTTCACGTCCAAAATGAAGTAAACAGAAACTCACCTACACAGTAAAATCTGCTTCATAAGGAAAAAATAGATGTAAGAAATTACCATTTGTTAGATACATAAATAAATAGGTTTAGAAATGAGTAGTTTTAAAATTAAAAATTCTTATAGATAGTTCACAAGTCAGTCGTTGTATAAAGTAAAACAATTTCGTCGCGAGATAAACGGCTTCGCTCAGATTAAAACTGCTTTCCTAATAAATATATTTATTTTTTAGATGTGTCACTTAATTTGTGCAACCATGATATATTATGGTCATACACGAAAGAAACAAAAACAGTATATCACCTCCGTTTGTGAAGGTTATCCAACAATAATAGAGAATTCTAAAATTTGAGGAAAAATGGAAGCTACAATTTATTGAAAGAAAAGAAGAGAAAGGCAATGAATAAGAAAAGAAGTAAATAAGAAAGAAAGTGGGGGAAGAAAGGAGAGTATTTGAACGTGAAACGTTCACTCTTTACTTCAGATTCGAATTTCTTTCAAAACATTTTCACATCGAAGGAGATGTAAATGTTCAGTTATTTTAGAAGTTGTATGTGACAACATCAAATCACAGTTGCACAGCCGCCCTTTGGAGTCCAGATGAAAGAACTGCCATTGAAGTGTCTGCGTGAAGATATAAATGCCACATTTCTCCATTGCTGTCGCTCGTATAAACTATCCTATTATGTAATTCACAGATAGAGGACACTTCCTCGGAGAACAAGATCTCCAATTAGGCTCTCTGAATGCATCCGCTGGCTTGGATTTAAGAAGGGGGAGGTCACGGGGATCCTGACCTCCTAAAACCTAACTGAATAACAATCTTATTGAATATTGACTTAATTCCAGCAATTATAATAATGCATGATAGAGCGAGTAGAAGTCAATTATTGTGCAGGAAGACAAAGATTACAAGATTTTCAAATGATACTCAAATGTTTATATCCTAACGAAGAGAGCACGTACGCAACAGGAGTTCTTTCGCGCGTAAAAACCTGCTGAGGTGGCTCAGGCCATCAACTGATATCACTGCAGTGCTTCTGAGCGGGAGGTTTTAGGGTTCGACTCCCGGCTGTGGCAGGAGTTACATAGCTAGCTTCGAAATTCGTCCCCATGTCTGGTAGAGAATTCCAACGGCCGACTGCTGCGATCCATCCGAACCAAGCGAATGACGGAGTAGTACTCTAAAAAACGGGTCACAGACCGCGCGCGATCTTTCCATCCTCTTCCTTGACCTATCTTCACCCTTTACGTAGCCACACTTACACTTACTTGCATTTTACTACTACACATGATGGGAGGCCAGTCGAAAGTTTAGAACTTGTGCCGGCTGAGGCGTTGCCTCGCTGGTGTGAGATACCTAGATAGGGAATACTCCGCAAGCCAACGTATAGGTCGATGTCGGATAATAACGTCGCGCTGAGGAGAATACCACCATCTCCTGTGATAAAACATGCATTGCAATTATGGAATTGTGGCAGTTGACGCGCCCGGAAACACGAAACAATCAATCGAAAGAAAAACCCACATCAGCGTGTTCTGCACGATGGAAAAACATACTTGTCTGTCTCTGCACAGTCCAATCACCATCGTTGGTAGATCGACCGGAGATTATTCATTTTGAAACAAAATCTACTAATAGTTTAGGCGCTTGTGTTATTCAGAGACGGACAGACCCACCGAAAGACAGACGAATGGACAGACGACGGACGAACGTTTTGAAAAAAACTACACTTTTTCGGTATCAGGGAACCCCAAAACGTGTATTTCCGATGAAATCTCGAAATCGATTTTCCGAACATTACATAACTCTCTGTATTTTTCTTGTATTACTCCGTATATACGTTGTAAGTATACGAGAAAGTGAAAACAACAATTGAATTGTGTAAATCTGGTGTTTCCAAATTCTTGATAGCACTTAACTCTGAATGTCTTCTTTGGAGCGACTTTAAACTATCACAGAAGTGTAATCACTAAAGCTATTCTAAATATTCTCCTTCTCTGATACATAACTCGGCTCATTTTAGTACCACATATTTAATGAACATTCTACTGAGAATCACCATTCACGTATTACACATCACACAGAGTACATTACTGTACTCTTCACAAAATCAACCGAGCAGAAAATCTTCTCACATTGGTTGATGAATTTTCTTCGGTTTCCTTCACAAGATCACTTGCTTCTTCCAAATCTGATGAAAGATCGCGTTCAAAGGTCTGAGATAATAAACCATTTGAACCGCAACCTTATGAATGTGTTAATGAATAATCTTTTAGTTACACAATACGATTCGTAAATCGTCTGTGACATTCGTTTGACGCTCTTTTGGCACTGCCCTCACAAACACCATAAACATTAGTCATATCCGTGTATTATTCGTGGCTGTAAATTTGCGACATTCTCATGCTAAATGCACATTGTTGTA